ATAAAGCTAATAAACTAGACTTAGAAAAAATGATTTCTACATTTGTTAATTCCAAAATCAGAAAAAAAACTTTCTTAAGTGAAGAAAAATGTTTAATACTACCAAATGTTCAAAAACATAATTTAGTTAAATTTAAAAGAAAATTTATTAATTATCTAAATTATGTATTTTTTTTTATAATTTATATTTTTTTTTATTTCTAGGAATATATTATTATGTTTATTGTTTACTGTTTACATGTTGTTGGTAAATCTATTCAAAGGTTTAATGAGACTGTGTGTTGAGTGAGTTACAAAATTATGTGTAGAATTGTAAATTTATATCATATTATTTATCATTACCGGGTTTTCTTAATTTTATTTACAAAAAACTAGAAATTTGTTTATATTACCTCGTTTTTTCTTATCAACAATTGATCGACTATCCCGAATTTGTTCATAAACGTACAAACTTAAATTAGGGCCTCTTCTTTTCAAGCAAGATACTAGTATGTGGAATTACACAAATCAAATATGCTTATATATTGATTGGAAATTAAAATATCCAACAATCCGCTGACGCTTAGCATGGAAAATGTTTTTACCTAAAACTTTGATAATAGGTCAATTCACTCTCATATCAAAACTAACATCACACTATTGAAACTAGTGAACGAAAATGTACTATGTCGTATGTGTATAAGACGGAGACAACAAATACATGTATAGCGTCATCTTAAAGATTCTAGATAAAGAATTTCGATTTATGTTGCTATTTTTTTTTAAATTTAGACTTATAAGTTATAACATTTATTAATTTATAACACTACCTACTGAATATTTTTTGTGTTCATTTATAAACATAATAGATATTTTTATAACTGTATAACAAAAATAAAGTCAACAATATAATGCGTAGGTATATACATAATATTAAAACCAACAAAATCAGAACGGGCTCCAAATAATTTAAGGAGTAGTTCTGCCCCTCCACCCAAAGTCAAGCCAATGGCCAATGCATATAATGTGCATTATGTACCATCTGTAGATGTGCCGCGGTTATTTGACGTACCCATAATCTAATACAATATTAGAATAATAAATATTAAAATATACATAATATTACATTTACATACTGCATTGTGTTTGTGTAAAATGTAATACAGTATTAAACTATTATGGTATACATAGGTAGGTACTGAGGTACTGTATTCTCAGTTAGTCATCAGTACTTGTACGTTACTGCATTGTCTACATTATAATACTATAATATACAAAATTGCCGAGAAAATGCACAATCACTCTCAGTTCTCGAAAGTGAAAAAAATAAATTAGTAACAGTATAATATAATAAAAAATAGTGAATATAAAGGATATAAGTAGCTATATCATATTATATATTTATATGCCTGTACCGTAATATTATCATCTTGTTCATGGGTACCTACCTATCTTTCGTAGTACACACTTCGTATTAAACAACAACAAAAATAATAATAATAACCTGGCAATTATTTTTATTATTATCGTTGAAGTTTGTGCGTGAGTGTGTCGCGGTGTCATGTCGCTGCCACCGACTTCGCGTTCGGCCGGCGCGCGCGGGGTACCCTTTTCGCCCGACATCTGTTACCGCGAGCGTCGGCCGTCGCTCGTCGGGTGTCGCCGCTTTTAGTTTCTATTTCTGCGCGAGTCCGTAAACACGTCGCGGCGGCGGTGATAAGGAGAATAACTAAAATTTTTGTCAAATCAAATAAATAAATATCGTTATCTGTGCCTTTCCGCAATTCCACATAATATAATTATTAATTAATATCTATTATGTTTGTGATATTGTAGGACGAAGTGTTCGCACGTTAATATGTGACATTGTAAATCGTAATAATATTTCGCATTTTTTTTTATTCTCGACGGTGACTCGAGTGTCTTTATTCCTCTTTAACTTTATCTATTCGCAACGGTATCGCAGTGCTTTTTTACGAGTACCGACAATCGGTTGCGAACGTTCTGCCGCCGTCCGAAATTCCTATTCGCGGATTCACCAGAAACGACACCACCCGTCGACAGCCCGGATAAGTGTTCGCTTATTCGTAGTGCTCGTTCTGTTGGTTGTCACTTGTCAGGTCCAACACGTCTGACCTCAGAGTCTTAATGGTTCGTATATTCGTTTTAAATCGTTGGTACTTTAGTAGGTATTGAATAATGAAAATTATAATTTCGCATTTTCCCCTTTGTCGTTGTCATTATTGTTAAAAATTTCCAGCCGACTATTCCTAACTAGCTGCAGTTGATTTCTCCTGTAAATGTAACAACTGTAATGCAGCAATTTTTGCACTGGCATTTTAAACAGCCGTTGTGTGTTAATGATAATTTATTTGGTTCAAGGCTGACATTCAATAACTACCCACAACAAGACCCCCGTGACTAACATTTTATTATGTTTCTTTCATTATAGTCTATGTGCCGTATTAACTAGTTCCGAGGTCATGGGTAATTGCTTAAAATATATTTATTACATACAATTCTTGAACATCGATTAGATTGTCTCATTCAACAACTACTATAATATTACATACTTTAACATTATAACCAAACCTTTATTAATCAATTATTAGTCTACTTGGATTTGGTTAATATAATATAAAAATAACTCATATTGAACCTACCCATTGTATGTTATAGAACACCTTCTTTTGTAAAAGCAATTTGATTTTTAATCTGATCAAACCATACATTATGTTTGTAGACCAACCAACAGTGGCTGTTAGTGGTGGGGTTTATTAAATCTTAAATGAATTGAAGTACCTACGTAAAGTATTTCCCAGTACAAGTAAAATAGGAATATTGATTCATTTTATTAATAATTAAAGTATGCATTGAATAGTACACAACTTAGTATGTAAGTAATAGCCAATTTGATTCAACAAAGTGTAAGTAGGTAGTAGATAATTGCATAAATATTTAATTGGTAATTTCATATTTCTTAGTAAATACATTCTTTTTTAAAAATGTAATTGTTTATTATTTAGATTTGATAGTTCAATATTAGTAGGTAGGTGCACAAAGTGTGTATAGTAGGCAGACCTACCAAATAAGTTTTAAATAATTTTCTTAATGAACATTCCAAAAAATGAAAGTATGACATTTTATAAAACTTCTAAACAAATAGAATATTTTTGATTTTATTTAATATAATATAATTTTTTGTCATACTTTTCAAAAAAAAGAAAAAATAATTTTTTTTACATTGAATGTGTATTTGTATTCTACTTATTTATATTTTATATTTGTGTATCTAAGTACAGTCTACCTATGAATAATTTTTGGATTTTTACTTACTTTTATTATTGGATAATAATTTACCTACCTATCTTATAAATATTTACATTATTATAAATTTTATTGTATTATCTGACTTTATTTAAAAAACAAGACACATTTGAAGAATATTACTTATGGTTTTGTATGTTAAATTGTTTGTCTTAGCAATTTATATTTGTCAGCTTGGAAATGATGTTAGTACTATCTAACAATATATTTTTGTATTAATGTCTTAGTATTAAACAGGTAAAAAGTGAGTGAAGGCATAAATATTTTGTTTGGTAGAATCAAATATTGGTTAGTACTTTTCCAATTGGTTATTATTTATGAATTAACAACAAAAATTGTATTACCTATTTTGCCTATCGCTACTCCATTTTATCGTCTGTTTTTGCCGTTTAAACACAATACCATCAAGCATTGTGGATATGGATAGGGTCATAAGGGTACCGGACCTATTATAGTACCCGAAAAGCAGTTTATAGTAACACACCATATTCATATAATATCAAAGAACTTATTACCTAGTAGTATATTTTATAGTAGGTATACCTGTAATACTATAATTATTATTATACTTGTTTAATTATTTATACACCAGTGGATATTAAGTATATGTTAGTTCATAAAAATTATTTGAACCACCATGGCCATATCAACAAATGGGTATAAAACTAAAATGTACTTATAATTCTTGTTATATTACTATGGACATTGATCAATGATCATATTATATCAGAAAAATTTATAAGTCAAAATTAAAATAATAATAATTTGATGTATCCAGTGGCTCACATTAAATGTGGTACATGTCGGTTGATACTCCTATCAAAATGGTTGGTATGTGTCTTGAATCTTGTTGAATATTACATTTATTGATGGATTATTCATACATCATGAGAAACGCTATAACTAATATAAATGTTATTAACCTAAAAAAATTGAATAAAAATTTTTTTTTTGGTGGGTATGCTAAATCTTACACTCCTTGTAGAAAATGAGTGTGCCAGTGGGTATATCAATAGATATCAATAATTTTTAACGACATTTAAAATTGTATTTGATAGTAGATACTAGTAAAATTAAAAAGTTCAATATTTTGTTTCAATAAGATTTTATTTTTTACTTTAGATGGTAGGTATAAATAAATATAAAACATCTTTAAAAACTAGATTTTAAGAGGACATGATACCCACATGTGCTGTCACAACAAATTTGTGTTCTTCAGAATCCATTTTATGTTGTTTCTTGAAAACTTATCTAAACACAATTGAAAATTATAAATAGTATATTATCATTTATCATGTTTGATTTACTTATATTAAATATTTAGATTTACTTGGTTATATGTAATTTAAAAATTCATATGAATAATTATAATTATAACTTATAAGTATACATTTAAAATCTTTATAATTTAAATTATTATAGTGTATTCATTACCGTACATTAAAATATGAGTATAAAATCTGTGTTTAACCGTAGGTCTTTGTGTATGTATTTCTGTCACCCTGTTGCAAGTCTGGCAACTGGCAAGCATCTGTTTTTGTTCACTAAATTTAAACATATACTGCTGCCAACCATTTGTCTTATACTGTTAAGAGTCCCAAATTCAATATATTAAAAATTAGTTCATGTTCTAATCTTTTTACAATTCCTTGTTGAATGCACTTATTTTATAAAACTGGGCATTTTTTTTTACAGATTCTATATTAGGTTTATCTTCTACCACATATTGCAGCGTTCTTCAAAAATCAGCAATGGTCGAGGTGTTTGCTGCCAATCAAGGCGACTGCAATTCCAATAATCTGGAAGTGCTGGATGCCACCTTAAGCTCGTATAGGAGCAATGCATCATCTCAAGACAATGCGGATTTCTTTCAAGATTATTCAGATTACCAATGGTTTGCTGATTATAGGTAAATTTCTTGTGTTTCTTATAATTATTTTATTATTAAATTGTATTCTTCTAGGTACCGTGATTCAGACAATTTTAATCATCACACAAGTATTCTATCGTCTATATCAGAAAACTATAATATTCCATGTTATGAAGAAGTTTCCAGAGATTTGGATGTTAACTTGGCTCAAGTAGATATGGAACATCTTAAGACAGAAGACATACATAATATACTCAGCACATTGCCATCTATGTGTGGTCAAGATTTACAAGTATATATAAAATCAAGTATTGATTATTTTAATATTATTTTACTTATTCAATAATTGATTATATTTCAGAATGTATCAACTGAATCATTTTGTAAAAATAAACAGCTATTCTCTCCTGTAAAAGAACAATCGCCAAATCCATTCATAACATTTAGCACGGATTCATTAGATTGTAGTGATGATATGTTAATTACCTGCAAGGCTAATAACAAACATAACTATACAATTGCTTTTGAAGAACCAACTATGGGGGTTTCGGAAGAATTTCAAAATAGTGAAGCTATGAGTACAGGAGAGAGTCGAAATACTGGTTCAGGTGAAGCATGGTCAAGTGATGGAAGTGTTCCAGTGAGTGTCCCAATGATATCTTCAGATACTACTTTTACCACATGGAACAAATTAAAAAAGTGTACCACTTCTGCAACCACCAATTGTACTCAACAACTTAAAGAGGTATTAATTTAGTTATTTTAACTTTTTTGTTATCAATACTACCTGTGCAATGGCCATTGTATTACATTTGATTGTAATAACTGTATGAAAAAAATAATCTCAGGCGGAGAGTCAGCTTTAGTTTCTGATGTGCTGCCGAGTTAAAACAATCAAAATTGTTTGAGCTATTGAGCTTAAGCAAAATGTGGCCAAGTGGTTGTTTGAATAATAAAGAATAGAGCGTAAAATGTGGTACTCGTTAGACATACACATTGCTGCCCAAGATGACCCTTATATTATTAAACAGAGTATAGATCTATATTTTTATCATAGTAGATATTTAAATAAAAAAAGACTCCACACCCGCATGTGTTTTTTTCTTTTTACAAAATTGATGAATTTTGAGTTCAGTAGAACCAATTTTGTGTCGTTTGCTTTGATAATATTAGATTATGCAGCTATTTAATTTTAAAGCAAGTATAAATGTTAGATATGTAAAATATAAAAATGTTCATAATTCTCTAAAAATTTAAAATATTTAAAAAAACCAACTAGATAACACCGATAATGACAATAAATAAATGTTCTTACCTTTAGGTTTGATCATAGGCAAATTAAAATCAAGTAATAGAAAGTATCTTATTTTATGGTTCTAATAATTTTCGGTTTTATATTATTTTGTCTGTAAAATTATATGGGTACCTAATAGTTTGATACTAAAATTAAATTATAATTGTCAAGTTGACAAGGGGCCACTGGCATATCAATATTATAAATTTGCTTACTGCAATACACTTTGTGTTGCAAATTGTGGGATGGGGAGGGGGGGTTCTATAAATCCAGTCTTGTATGTGTATACTTAATTTATTGGAATTTACCTAAAACTGATCATTACTTTCACTTTACAGCATACAAGTTTATCATCAAGTGTGAATGAAAAGACTCAAAGTTTACCAGATCTAATGCCATTAAGGCTGTTATGGTTAAAGCAGAAAAAAAGTCATTATGACTATCTAGTCAAATCTACTCAGTCTGAAGGAGGAAATGGTATAGTATTCAAATATTTTATTGAACCATTATAATTTATAAGAGATATTTACTGTTTATTTAATTTTTAGAAGGTAGAGCTAAGCTGTACGATGTATCTGGTATTAAAGATCAAACAGATAGTGCTAAATTCAGCCTTGTAAAAATGTTTATTAGTCAAAAGAAAAACCGTCAGTCAGATGGTAGCTTAGTAATAAGTGATAATGAAGCTACTGCTGAGGTAACCGAACCCAGTAAGAATGATTTGGAAGATAGTCTAATGTGTGAGAATGAAAAAACTGAAAACATTAAGCGTGTCAGTAATAATAATGGGTCCAACAATTCATCTATCATACCTAGCAAGCATTTATGGAAAGGCTCTAGCTTAAATAAGAGTATGCAAACTTCATCATTAGATGGAATAAGCAGCCCAAAACCAGATATCAAGGTATGTACAGATTTTAATTGAATATTATTATTTATGTCTATTTAATTTTTTTTTTTTTAGTGTAAGAACAGTCCCGTATATGTGATGTTTCCAAGTTATACATTACCAGATCTCTCATTCCTGCAAAATCCTAAAGCTGCTTTGGATATTAACAACGTATTTCTTGTACCTCAAAAATTTTCACCCATGCCGTCTCCTGAAGTTGAATGTAAAAAACTTAACACTACGCCTGTACATGAACCATCTTCAGCTGAAAATTCATTTGATTTAAAATCAATCTGTGCTAAAGGATTTGATCATGTTAGTGATTGGGATTCACTAGCTTTGCTGTTACCTCGGAATGTGTCTATAGCTTTATCCAAGACTCCTGAACTTAAGGACCGTTTTAAGCACATTAATTTTGATATTAAAGAACCATCATTTTGTCAAATTGCATTTAAACCCCTGGATAAAAAAGATGACATGTTCGTTTATCAATATGATGATTTGAGTCAACATCAAAAACCACCAGTAGGTCGAGTTAATTCAAAGATTCCCATTAAAAATGAACAGAAAAGACCTTTAAATGAAGTACCAAAAAGGTAATTTTCTATTTTATAATATTTATGGAATACTATTTATACTATTTATCTATATTGCATAGTATATTTGAATTTAATAACAACTTTATAATAACTTCAAATAATTTTTTTTATAGATATAGTATGTATGATATGAAGTCAGAAACATTTCAAGAACAACAAAATAAGAGGCGTTCTCTTCCATCACAGCTAACCATAATCCCTAACATCACTCCTATTGTAAGTTTATAATATTTAACGCATTGATCATCAGCTTCAATAGAGGTTTCTTGTAGCAAATTGGATCTAGTTTTGGGAGGTATCATAATTGAAAATTTCAGTACTATTTATAATATCTGAAAAAAAAATAATACAAACATTTGATAAAAATATGTTAATATTATTAAAATAATTGTTTGTTACCAAAAGGTTACTACTGTCTTCGCTCAGAATCAATTTTTTTAATGTATAGATAGAATAATTTTTATTTAATTCAAATTGGACATGTTATCCATTACAGTAACTACTCAATAAACAGGCAAACGGCTCCCACTGTACAGCAGAGCAGTTTCCTACTTTTCCCATTAATTTTAATTTTATATATAACTAGCACAGTGCTAGAGTATCCATGGTGTTGCTTAAGATATACAGTGTATTTCTTTTTAATGGTAATCTAAAATATTTCAGTCCAGTGATCTCTGATTGTTATGGGGTTTTTGGGAGGAGTTGGAGAATATAAAAATACACATTGTTCGATGATTTTCAAATTTTTATATCTTTCAGTGTATATATGCGCAGTATAACTTGTATTTTTTATGCCAAGTAACCCTAGTTAGGCCCATTAAACTGCTTTTGGCCGATTGGTTTGATTTGAAATAAAATATTTTAATAAAATTTAATATTCTGATATAATTCAATTGTACCCGGTAAAACTGTATTTTATACTAACAAAACTAATACTTAAAAAATTCAAAAATCAAGAAATGACCTGTGCTATTTTCAGTTTTATTTTATTTTAAATTTTATAAAAAAAGTTTATGTTAACTAGGGTGAAAAAATTGGACAGTAAGTATTTCATTCCGTAGGCTACAAAGTACCAATTACACCAAACTTTATACATGGAATGCATTATGTTTATTATTCTATATGTAAATTTACTTTGGGGGAGCCACCATATGCATTACGATCTGATTTTTTATATTAATATGATGATAACAATTTTCATAGATACAATTTCATTATATTTGCCATGATTCGGAATGCATATGACAATGTTCTATTAGGTATCATATTTTGATTAATGCACAAAATTCCAAATATTTAGTTCAGTGACCCATTGTCCATTACCCTTTTGCTTTATTTTAGTTAATATATTTATGTAATTAAACACCGAATAATTTCACCTTACAACATTTAAAAAATTATATTTATTATAAAATATAAACTTCTATTATTAATTAAATTCGGATGTTTATTATAGGAACCCCCCTATGGTGGTAAAATAAACGTTTACCCCTATACTGTTCTCTTAGTATATAATATTTAATTATATATGTATTTAATATTCCTGCATCCACATTAATAATGTACATAAGAAAATTAAATTCAAAATAGTTAAATAAATTCTGTCCTGGGTAATCTTTGAAACAATTTAGAAATCTAAAATTTGAAAGAAAGTGTAATTTGTTAATTTTAAACTGTGTATCAATACTACTAATTACAAAGAAAACAAATAATAAATACTTTTTAAGGCTGGTTCTGATGTTGGCACTTCTGAAGATGAAGGAGTTGAATGTTCAGGAAGTAACTGCGACAGTCCTAATCCATGTATTGATGAAGCTAAACGATTAGACTCATTGTTGCGACAAAATAAACAAACTCGTGTTAATTTAAAAGCACAAGTCAATAAATATTTACACCGTGCCAGTGGTCATCATACTCCACCAAATTCACCAAATCAAATAACTAATCAGGTAATATTATCTGTATAATGTAATATGCAATTTAAATATTATGTTTATTGTAACTTATAATACTAATTAATGTATTTATGTATTATTTTAGGCAAAGAAAGGAGCCGATAGCATAGAACGATTTGAAGGATGTGAAATAAATAAATTGACGGATTCTATAACACACAAAAAAGGTGCATTTTAGCAGAACATTATTTTAATTTTAATTTTATCTAATTAATAATACATTTTTTAGATCTGGTAAGAAATTGCTGCTTTGGTGCTGAAAAAATTACATTTTGTCTCGACAATGACTATACAGAAGACTTGCATGCAATCGTCCTGGATGTTCTTTGTCCAGCTCTATATGCACTGTTCAGTGAAAACCTTAAATCTGTTTTAGAAACATCTTTTGGTTCTGTTAATAACTCTGTATGGCAAGTGATTGAAGCTTCTTCTCAACAAGGTTAGTTAATTGCTGCTAATACTTAATGGGTGTACAATATAATTAGTTTAGAGCCACAACATAATTATTAAAATATGAATAATGATTGTAGGTGCAACTACAGTGTTAGCCACCTTTTAAACATTTTTAGAAAATGAAAAATATATAGGCTATCAAAGCACTGAAAAAAATTTAAAGCGTGAAGAAAATTTTTAGTTAAATTATAATATATTACAGCTTAATTTTTCAACCTTAGGAATAATATGTGTATATATATAGCCCTTCTTTTATGTGATCAAATTAGTTCTTCAAAAATTTTAGTATCAACATTTGAACAATTAAATTTTTTTTTAAATTTTTTTTTTTTAAATTTTCAATTAAATTGGTGGTTAGAAATATTATCTCAAACATTTAATAAGCACACAAGGACTAATCTACAATTAAATGACATTTTGCCAATGAAATGTATAATATCTAATTGTTTCATTACAATAATAAGTTTTTTGGCGTACTATGTTTTTATATGTTGCTATGTACCCGTGTATACAATTTTTCCCAAACTCGGCCCTTAACACATTTGACACACGAGACCTTCATCTTCATTCCTAAACTATACAATGATGGCGAGAATAATAATGCCCAAGACCCATAATAAATACATGGGTGGCATAATTTATAGGTCATTGATAAAAATTAAAAAGTAACAAAAATATTGTTATTTCTATAATTTATATTGATGAAGTATTAAGATGTATAATATAATATTTATTAATGACAAATAATTATTTGTTTCATAAGTTTTGCTTTTTAAAACTCAACAATAGATAGTTAGCAATACCCGATTAGTTAAAATACAACTATTAAATGATAGTATAAATAAAACAACCATGAAAGTTGAGAAATTGAGATCATTGAATGATGTACAGGTACACTATTGGTCTATGAATAAGTCAGCTCATCTCACCATTTGTTTTCTCTCTCTGATCCATGTATAACATATCCAATTTAAGTTTAGCAGAACAAACCCTGAGTTATAACTTTTAATATTATAGTGAATTCACCTATCACCAAACTTTAAGCTAAAGATATTACCTGTGTCCCTACATTGGCTTTTTTACAATATTTTAATTTTTAACCAATTTAAAAGCATTTTTAAAATGTAATAATTTCCACACCCATAACTTACTTACAAATTTAAATATCATAAAATAGCTAATGTATGGACACAAGTAATGTTCTTAACTTAAAGTTTGATGATGGACACGTGGTTGGTTCTGCTAAACTTAAATTTGCTATGTTGCGCGTGGGTCAGAGAGAGAAAACAAATAATGCCCTGACATACCCTTTTATGGATGATTTTTGTTATGTATCATATATTTAACCGTAAAAACATCGAACTGTGTATCATTTTAACTTAAATGTTTATTATTTTATCATCCATATCTGTAACGACTAACAAGTGTACTTATAACCAAACTTATCCTGACCATTGATATAATTTTTAAATGTATAAATACTACATAGTAAAATATACGTATTTTACGTTTATACTAGGTATAAGTATAATCACAGAACACTAACGTATGTACTATGTATTGTATAAAAATACATTACAATACATTTAAATGTATTTTTATATTTTCGTTGTGTAAATATTATTTGAAATTGTGTAAAAAAAACAAGTGTGAGTGTTTTTCTTAAAAAAAGAATAATTAAAGCAAAGTATATAAAGGTAAAACAAACAAAAATGTATTTTTAATTATTACTCCTCGAGATAAAATATGCAAATGTAAATTTTGTTTACTTGTTCGTGGCGTGTGACGACAAGTATTTAAATAAAAGTATACAAATAAAACATAAATATTACTAAAATAACTGTTAGAGGCACCCGTTGGCAAGATAACAAGAAAATATATTGTGATCGTAGAATCTATAATGCGATACACTTTGTGCATGATAATATTATTTTTAAATTATAATCGTCTTCAATTTTCTTCGGGACACCCCGGGAGTGAGAAGTACGCCGTGATCTGTTGATAATAATAATAATACTGATTATAACAATGATCAATTAACCGCAATCCCTTTATTGGCTCTGAGAAGGTGACAGCGGCAAAGGACCAGGAGGAGAAACGGTTACGCGGTGTGTCTTCTGATGCCTGACCAACTGGTACTGTTGGCAGTAGGACACTCGGCACTTGTCGCACGCGTACGGCTTGTCGACGTCGTGGACGCGTTTATGCGTGGCCAGGTTGCCCATCTGCGTGAACTGCCGACCACAGACGTCACACGCGTACGGCGTGTGGCCGGAGTGGACGCCGCGAACGTGAGTGCGCAGGTTGCCCACCTGTGCGAACGACCTGCGGCACACCACGCACGTGTACGGCTTTTCGCCCGTGTGCACACGCACATGGTTCACCAGGTTGCTAACGTGCCGGAACCGTTTGCAGCACAGTTGGCACTTGCGCTTGTCCGGCGCCAAGTGCTGGGCCAAGAACCTCTTGGTCGGGAACATGCGCGCGCACTTGTCGCACTCCAAGTCCCTGGCGCACTCCAAGCTTATCTCTTTGGTCACAGACTGACGCCGCTGCGCTGGTTGTACTGGTTTTCGTTGCCGCTGAATTTGCTGTTGTTGTGGCTGATTTTGGAGACACCATACAGCCTCAGTCTGTTGTGCCCTGCGAATGAAGAAACGATCATGTGATTTCCATCCCTGAATTAGTGGCGGCGGCAGTAGTGTAGTTACAATTTGATTCTTGGGGGTGGTAGGGGGGTAATTTGTTAGGTCATTGTCAGGTAGAAGGCCATGCTTCCCCTTCTACTGACATACAGCTCTGTTTTTTTTAAAATGACAACTTCTCTTGGGAGAGTCTGCTCTTCGCCTGAATCATGGGAGTTAACACTTGAAAAAACGACATCGTAATGCTTTCAATTCAATATTTCTGTATACGTATGAGCGCGTTCGTCAGCGGTAGTGGCTCTTATACCAAGATCTAAGATAGTAATGGTTGCCCATCGATAAAATGTCTTATCCGAGAATATTACTTAGATATAAATCTAGCAATAGTCGCGTTACAGTTTTGTTCACACGGATCGTTGCTATTAAAATTTTAATGTAAACCAATAATCAAAGTTTATTTGTAGAAGTTTTCACTTCTGTCTTCTGTTTCAAGACCGTAAATTGTATTTTTTAATACGCCACTACACGCTACTTTAACGCGAAGGTTTTCGATATAATTGATATTGGTTTTTGGTGTAACGCTGAAAAAAATGTATGTAGAGACAGGAAATATTGACTTAATGTCTATATTAGCATTTCCTATACACCATACAATTTTCAAAATATTTTGACTCATTTTAAATATTTTTTTATTATTTTTTTTTTAAATTTATGTCGTTAAAAAAATGTTTGAACGGTCAAAGTCAAAATACTTGAAAATATACAAGGTGCCTAGTAAGTTGATAGTGGAAATTAAAAAAAAGTTGAGCTTAAATTCTCAATAATTTTTAAGAGCGTCTGAAGTTCAAATTTTCACGACCTTGGCTATTTATTCGGTTTCTCATGGAATGATTTTCTTGTTAGTTTTTAATAACGAATAACTGTAAATACTCGAAATTCATACCAAATGTTTATTTTATCATTTTCAAAATATTTTGACACATTTAGAGCTGTTTTTGAAATGTCTAAGTTTTTTAGTTTTTTTTTCTATTTATGTCCATACAATTTTTCGTTGGGTCAAAAAGCTTGTAAATGTAATACACGGCTCCTCACATAGCAGTTCACCATTCATCGGTATTCACAAATTTGTGAAAACTTGAATATAATACGATTATGAACTCGATAATATTTAATATTACATTTTTGATATTTTTAATCAAGTACTTCATTTAAAAATAAAAAATGATAACTACATTTTGATTATGATTTTTAATGAACTTAAATCAAATGTACCGATTTTAATATTCAATTTAAGACCTAACAAAATTATTAATTAGCGTCTAGCACTAAAAATCAGAAATTATAACGATTGCATCTCACAATAAACATAAATATGACAAACATGTCATGATCAAACACATGTTTTCTAATTTTCTTATTTATTAAAATTAAATATTTTAAAATCTAAAAAAAATGGAGAATCAAAAACAAACGTTGTAAAATAGTTAAAATTATAAATTGTAAATTTGACTATAGAGTTGTTCAATCATCTTGCTTATGTACGGAAATGTTAGACAACTTACTGGCTGTCGGACATCTCGATCTGTTTTGGTAATTATTTGGAATTCTTCAATTATTTAAACAACACTATCTTGAAGAGGTAGAATGTCGTCGACTCAGGAGCTGCGTCCGACTAATATATGACTATAATAGAACTGAGCATATTTGGTTTGAATTATTGGTAATAGCCAGTGGACAGGGAATCATGCTCAGCTGTTTAGCAGTAATTAGACTTTGCACCGACGAGCGTCGACGGGAACCAATCTATATATTGTTATCACTATAATAAACAATAATATTTTTACCGCATCGAGAATTATTTCTATTTTCGTCCATATGCTGTTGGTGTGCATTGGGATGTTTTTAGATAATAATAATATATTAGATAATTGTGGGTAGCGCTGCCTCTTGGTATAATAATACCAATGTTGTTAATTTGTTACTATTACTGTATGATGCTCAAAAATAATAAATTATTATTCGTTATCGGCACTAGACCGAGTACAAAATGAGAACACCAATAATATTGTGTTAATATTTAATCTTGACACATGTAATCACTAAACTAAAAACTAGTCGGTTTGATTTTATTGGTGGTATAATTCTTTTAACACATCTACGTCTTTGCAGATATGTATAGTACTTATTTTGTTATTTATCATCTTCGTAAAGATATCTATTTTATCCCGTTTAAAATTAATTTTCATTATTTTTCGTCTTATTTTTGCTTCGGAGTTCAGGCTCTCTCTTATTGTTTTCATTTCTAAATAGAAAAATTAAAATAATACCTATTATATTCCCATTTTCAATATCAAACTTAGACAAAAATTGTAATCGCCGTCTGAACTACTCGAGGTACTAAAGGCAGTTTTAATCGAAGAAAGTAAAACTATACAACGTTTAATCCATTTTCTGTTTTCTGTGCAATCCATAATCTATTATTTGAAAATTAAATTATGACATCAATAAATAGACCCTTATAATAATAAATAGTTCATTAATTTCATAATTCATTTTTACCCGCATTTTGTACCTTCTTATTTCGATAGTTAATACGTACCGGTACCGTGAGACGTGCGTTGGTTACAACGTTATATTATTACTTATTAGTTATTAGTTGTATAGTTATATTTAGAGTAATATAGACTATAGACATATGAGTTCATTATAAAATATGAATTTAATAGAATTTGATTTTCTATTCAACTATTGTTGATGCATTTAAGTTGTTTAAACGTTTCCATAAGCCGTCATCGTTAAAATAATTGTATGTATCAATATTATAATTTTACTAAGGTACTTTATTATATATTAATATATTATAGTAACTAATATTGAACGAATAATAATGTAAAGACATAATTTATGTATCATATTAATCAAGGTACAGTCAATAACATTTTTAAGCGATTTAAACTATTAAATTGTAGACACATTGATTTTTTAATATTATATAGCATATTATAAAATCAATGGTAAGCATTATTTGTGTTATGTTTTTTATGTCTACTTAATAGTATTACTTCTTATTTGGTATAAAAATAGGTAGTTTTTTTTAAATCTCTTATGTCTATGTAAATTGTACATAATAATATATAGTTGCTTGGTGAGGTGCGGTTGTACGTCCCCCCTAAAATATATATATATATATGATACACCTGTTGGACCTTTTTTCATTATAATATAAGGTGTACATAACAAATTTGTTATACGAGAAATCGTTGTTTCCTTATTAAAATACGAATTTATAAAAGTAATAAATTGTTAAATTATAAAATAAGATGTGCCTACTACAGACAACAGTCAATGTGTTAGTTCTTGATAATGTGTGTATCGATTGTTAACGGATGAGATAGTGAAACCAGTATTTGTTCTCATCTTACGTACGCATTAAATATTTAAATACATTAATGTTTAATAATATAAATGCAAGGCATTTATTACTAATGTTTGGCGAAAGAATTGACACTCCTCGTCCTAACTATTAGGCTTGACTTCAATGGTATACTAATTAGACAATTTTAGTTTTCAATTTGTTCATATAAAATTTAAAAAAATTTAAATAATAAGTTATATAAAAATTAATAATACTTTTGTAATACCGTTGAAATATTTGGCAATCAATTTATATCATATTTAGGTATTATGGATAATTCTGTTTATAATATAAGAGCCATGATCTTAACTGAAGTTTAAATGATTTTTGGTTACCTGGTTTAAGCGTATCCATTTATATTGTACTATTGAAAGATTTATTGTTTCAGGTGTTCTCTCTTCTGCGCTTAACGAACTGACGGCAAAGGTCAACAATGAACTGGCACTCAACGAGGGTGTAATGAAGTTCAATGCATTTATTTTCGGCCTGTTAAAGTGAGAATCAATTGAAGCTGCAAACGAAACTTATTATCTTTGAAATATACGTCTTAATATTATTATTTACTATAATGTATTTGTTTTAGTGTTGGTGGCTTGGACGCTTGGCTGAGCTATATGAGAACCCGCGAATCGGTATGGCAAAAATACTATAACCGGAACGCGCTATTCGTCCGCGCCAATTTTGGGTGCACCTTGCACAGGGATCTCGTGGATCGTTTGATCGCTTCTGCTAGACCCTTGGCTAAGTACAGACCAGATTTCGATCCGCTGTACGAATGTCGCAAGCTCCACGAAAGCTTATCCAACATAAATGTAAGTGTTTTCTGTCAACCCGTTATCGTATAGTTTGTAATTTTCATTTGATCGCGAGCCAACGACGTGGTTTTGTGAAACATTCTTGGTAAATAAATTGAACTTCGATCATTTATCATAATTCATAATAATTTATGAAATCATTTTCTCTACAGCGTTTTGTTCTTATGGTTTTCAAACTTGTCACTATTTTTTCTTTGGTTTTTTTTTCTAAAATTGATCTGAAATAGGGAAATGATTCCACGCTACACAATTGTTGAGAAAAAATACCGAAACCAAATTTACTTACAATATTCCATTGTAATATTAATATATTATTGTCTATCCGCGATACAAACAGAAAATATCACTACAACGCCTTCAATACATTTATATTATTATTATTTCGTATAAATGACGAATGTGTAATATGTTTTAAAAACGTAGAACCGAACGTCGTGGTTACTGAAGAAAACAGCTCGGACGTTGGAAAACGAATCCTCCAGGCCCAGGTCGTACGTTGATTCGGCCGCCAAGACGACGGTAGACGTGGCGGGCACGGCCAGCAAACGCTGGAGCGGCGTGCACATGGGCTCCAAGCTGGCCACGGCCTTCGAACGGCTGGACAATATTGACGAGAGGATCCAGTGAGTTTGGTGTATATATTTATGTGAATGTCGAAATGCGCGGTGAATGTTGACATTCACTGCTGTTTTTAGTGAATATCAACATTTTGAATGCATATTAAAAATATACCAACAGTGACCGTCGAATGTTAACATTCGTAACGATTATCGACGAGTATTAACATTCACAATTTACTTTTGGTGAATGTTAGCATTTTGAGTTAAGGATTTTTGTCTCCCCTCGATTACTGCTATAAAGTATTAAGTGCTATGTAAAAAACGTCAGTTCCTACCTATACCTTGAAATATTTGGGTATTTCTGAGTAGTTAAACTTTAAGAACCCTTCCCTCATCCCAGTCCCTTTTTTTGTAATTCGGTTTGCATAATTTTTACGGCGAATGTGTTCGTAACAGACCGGAAGTTGCCGAGACTTGCCACAATAGCAGCGACACCACCAAGGAGACGCCTATTATTAAAGGGCAACGGTTCAGGCGGCTTCAGATGAAGTGGGAGCTGCTCAGCACCAAGGACCTGACGTTGGACACACCCGATTTTGATGGACCTAGGGGCGAGTCGACGAACGCTAGGTATTTATGTTGTAATATATTTTTTACCTGGCGAAGCATACTGATGTGATGTATATATGGTGATAGATATATGTATGGTGATCTATTTGACGTGCTTCATAGATGTTTGAAAAATCATTTATTACTTTCATACCGTTTTAATAGTGTTAATAACTTTCAACTATAATAGATTTTTGAATACATTGTTGAACACAGATAAAGAAAAAAATCTTACCCTTCGATATTTTAAGTCTATATTTTTCCATAAAACCATATGAAATAGTATAATGTTACAACTTAAGAGGATGTCAACGCACTGTTAGTTTTCTCTTTGTCCCACGTACAATATAGACATACACCAAACCGTCACGTTTGATATCGTGTTTGTAACACGATGACAAAATATGCCATAAAATACTTAAAAGTATATTATATTATTATATGTTATTTTTTAAAAGCAGTAGTCAAACGGATCACCCTCTCCGTTATAAAAAAAAAATGTTTAATGGAACCATCGGTTTTGTTCTGTACAGGAGAGCCGCCGTTAAGTCGCGCATACCACGGCTAGTTCTGTCGCCTGTCCAACAACCAGGCCCCGATGCGTTCGGCAACAAGCGTCCGATGACCGCCACTTACAGAGCCGATTCGCCGACTTCGCCCTCTGGCAGTGCCAACAACAAAATCGAACACACTTCCAACAGGTCGGTGTACGCTACTATAATCGATAACTATAATATGACGTTCAATATTCGGTGATTTCGACCTGTGGAAGGATGTGATTTAATTGAGTGTATAGATAGGAGTTATAAGGGGCGGAGGCCGTCCTTAAACACAGAAATTAAATTATTAGATAGTGATCTACTAAAAGCTGATAAAATTATGATAATATTATAATTATTTTACTATTTATTAATTTATTTAAAACAATAGCCTTATATTTTTAAATATGACCTTTAGACCCTTTGTTTGATAAAAAATAATTTCTCTATCGTTTTGTTTTTTAATGTCATGATACTATGGGTCCTAAAATACCACCATGTACGTTGGCGAAGGACCTAATCCATATAAACCCTTCATTCTTCAAAATATTATAATAACACTTACACTCGTTATATTTATGTATATTTGAAGCAAAGTATAAATGTCAAAGAACTTTGTATATTTAAATCAAAGAACACTTGTTATTCTAGAAACTACAAACATTTTTGAATTCTGAGTACTACGATGTAAGAAATCGAATTTTGGACTTGGAGTTTATGAGTTAGGTTAGGTATAAGTATTAAAAGTTTAGATTAGTGGTGCGAAGTGGGCTGTAGACTGTAGAGTGGCCCAGGCCGCGCGTGGCTTTCCAGTTTTACCAGCTCACTAAGCTTTCAATAATTAAAACTAATTAGCAACACGTCTGAAATTTGATATGTACCTATCAAAATATTCTGCAATTTGAGTCTGAAATTAAAAATGCATGTTGTTGTTCAAAACAATTTTATTTAGTCATATAAAAAAAAATGTATGTTTGGAACTTAAAAACTGTGGTAAATATTATGGTGCTCAAGAAATTTTTTCTTGGGATTTTTTTAAACCATAACTGAATCGCTATTTTTGTGATCCCGCCGCTTAATATAAGGTCCAAGACCCAGCAGTAACACAGTGATATTATATTAACCATGTATACTTATGAGACTGTTTTTCTGGATTTTCAGGACCAGAAAACCGCCGCCAGCGTCCACCCCGAAGGCGACGCGACCCAGCAGCCTCACGCAAAGGACCACGCCCTGCAGGGTGGAGCCCATTCGTTACGTGCGGACCCTTTCGCACCGGCTGTCGGCAGACAACGGACACTTGTCGTTCAACGAGGGCGAGAAGTTGCAGCTCGTCCTGGACGTGGACGACAAGTGGATACTCTGCTGTCGGGGGGCCCGCAAAGGTCTCGTGCCTAGGTCCTCCGTGCTGATGGTGTCCAAGTGAGAGACCCACCGGTGGGTGTCGCGTATGGTGGCCGCCCGGCACATTCCGCAATGATATTGATAATAATAATCTACTTTGATTATTTGAGCGTTTAATTTATCGTCTATATTAATTATAATATATGTTTCTATTTCGTTTTTAATATGGTCTCATTTTCCTTGTATTTTGTGTTTATTTCCGTGTATAGAGTACTACTACTACGATAATATTATGTTAATTATTTTTTGTCTATGATTTGCAAACTATTACATTAATATTGACCGACGGTTCGTGATGATGGGATAGTGTTGTGACACGTCGCGTGTACATCGTTTTTCAAGGCGTCCAAGTGCAATCGCCTTCGATTTGTCGCTTTGTTTTTTTCGTTGTTTTCTTATGTTTTCTTTTTTATTCTTAACAATTTACACCAGTTTTTTTTCTTTTTACGCAATGAAATTCGCACTTTGCAGTGAATAAAACAATTATCTGCAGTTGTACTCGGAGGGGCGTGTCGTTAGGTGCTTTTTATATTTTGTTGTCGTGTGTTCATATGCACTGTGAAAAAGTAATTTTTATGTTTTTATAAATCACGCAAATATTTGTTATTCAAACAGCCGCCCTTCTTGTAATTTAAACTACGTTTCTTATACATACCTAATAAGTAATAGGTGTGTATATAATAATATATATTCTAGTTACAAGAGTCGATGCTTTATTTATATACCTAATGCTTATGAGATAACTACTTTTTGTAATTAAAAAAAAGTAAAAGTATTACACTAATGCTTAGATTATAGAACATATCTTTTATTTTTTACAACATTTTTCTACTATCGTTTTGTTTTGATTTATAAATTCTAGTTGCCGTTGAGACCTTATTTGTTCGGCTCCTTTGCAATGGCTTTGAACAAAAAGGGTCTCGATGTGTGTCTCCAATGATCCGCGTCCGATCTCTGTTGGACGTTGTGTGTCGTTCTATCCACTGTGCTCTTGTATACCCCAAACCATATGTTTGAAAATAATTTAGTCCTTTGCCTAAGCCAAAAAATAGCTTTGACTAATACTATGTTGCTTTATATAAGTATAAGGTTTATATTATTATTATATTATGTTGTAAATTATCATTTTTTTTTTTTTTGTTTTGTTTCTTTCATATTTCAGTTTTATAGACTTTAATCATAGGTCCTTTAAAATTTTATTTTTGTTATTTTTTGTTTAATTAAACAAATAAGACTGCTTTAAACACTCGGTATTTTTATTTTATTTGTATATTTTGTTATTATTTTCCATACATTGAAACAATATTATTAACAGTCCCAGCATCGATTAAATATAATATTCTAAACATTTTAAATAATGGTACCAGTATTCTAATGTTAAAGTATAATATATTTATAAAAATATACGTTAATATATAATATTAACGTATTTTTAAGTATAACAGTACACAATTATTCAATATTATATTAACACTAAACATTATTCTCTTCACATTAAGTATAACATTATTACAAACCCCGATGATTGTATATTTGTTAAAATTTTGTTAATTAATCAATAGTTCGATGATGTGCCATGACCAAAAAAGGTTAAAACAAAAACTATTACTAAACATTTTATTATATTCAAATTATGATATACCGAGCAATACATATGTATAAACAGACAACTTGTGTTTGTTGGAATGAAAAATATATTGATAAATAAATAACAATAAATCCATTTTGTGTGATTTTTAAACTATCAAGTAGTCACAAACTCGAAACAGTCTGGAGTTTTCAATCAGACAACTGTTTTACTTTGGCTCATGCTCAATATTAGCAACAGTATTAGTAAGTTTGAAATTCCAGTAGCGGTTTATTCCTTTTTTCTAAATTATATCCATGTTAAAGAACAGCATAGTATGTTTGCTTCAGAAAGTTTCCTCTCACGTTGATGTGCATGCATTTTTTTTTTTTTGTTCAATGGATGTAGTTCATGACTGATGTATCAATTAATTCAATTTATTTAAATACCTTCAAAACCTTTCAAACTGTCCTTTCATTTATTAGGAGTTTGCACTGCACTGGGATCATTGTTAATATATATCACCTGGAGGGATTTTTATTCGTTGCCGAGTATTACTTAATAATAGTTATTAAATGTTTAATTTAATGGTAACTACTGCGGTATTATGTGTAGGATATAATTACAGACTCAGTTGTGGAGGAATTATTATTTGTTGCAGAATATAATCTGATAAGTACCTAATAGATATGCAGAGCCGGCCTTAGGTATTTAGCCGCCTGTGCCTATTTAAAAACGATCCATAATACCTATAAATCAATAATTCACTAGAAATTGCCGCTCGGTGCGGACGCATAGCTTATACGTAGATTAAACCGGCCCCGTAGACATGTAATTTATTGTTTATGCTTGTTAATCATTAGTCTCAAGTATAAAAATCTTGTTTATCATGTTAAAATCTCAAATAATGTTGAATCATATTTTTGATTCTTAATTGGAATACAAAAAAAATAAGTCCAACCATGTGGTATTGTATTCACGTAAGAATTTATTGTGACGTTTAATCAACATTTATTTTTTAATTGGCTCATAAAAAGACTAAGAACTTTCCTATGACCCGATTCTTATTGCACCTTGCAACCAATTTTAGTCTGATCTTTTACAAATACAATACACACTATATAAAAATAATAAAATATTACTGTTGTACTTGTGTACAGCCAGGGATGGACAAGATAATTGAAAAAAATGTTGAAGATACTAGATACATACATTTTTACCTCTAGACACCAAGTAATATATTTAACATATTTAAAAGATACATTTTTTTTTTTATTATTGTGTAATAAGTAAAATACTTAAATATTATTTAGATAACTTAAGGGAAAGAATCAAAATCTCTCCCACCACCCCCTTAAATTAGGTATAAGGTTAGTATAAATATATGTTAACACAAATATCATCTGCATTACAAATTCAAACATAATTTGTTTTATAAACTGTGCAAGTAAAAAAGATAAATATGATTTTCGAATGAATATATCTTTAATTGTAATTTGTACGCAACAAAAAGAAAAAAATGTTTATGACACAAATTAAAATATGTCTAAAGATACCACAGACATATTTAAGCCACACCCATATTTGCTTACAGCTATAAGTTCAGATGTTTTCTTCTGTGTACGCACTATCAACTCCATAAGATTTCTTTCTTACAAATGATTGAACTTTAATAATCAGCAGACGCTGCCAAATTAATTGTTAATGATTTTTTATAATTCATTTTTTGTATAGGATTATTTCATTGTCATTTTTTAAATTATATATAATATTACAGGCAGTCAACATGTATTAAACATACTAGTAAACCACTGGTTAAACAAGACCCAATAAATTGTACTGTTACATCCAATGGCCATAGACGCCGCGGATAGTTATTTAATAAAAAAAAAAAAAAAGACCCAATAAATAGGTATCTTATTGTAATAATTATTACATAAAACTAAGATGAAAACCAAACAGTTGATTAGGTGAAGGTCAAAGTAGTGAAACAAAATGTTTTAAATTAGATATACAAGATTTTGTTTTTTTTTAAGCAACGATAGAGTATACATAGAGTACTGTTACTTAAAAGTCAAAGAGGATATAATGGAAGTAGCAAACAGGCTGTCATAAATAAAATATCGAGAATGTTGATTATGAGATTAGTTTTTAGGGATTAGGTAAAGATTATATACAAAACGTATTGAAGTATTATTGTATTAAATCAACAGCACAAAATTTGTCCAAACTATTAGATTGATTTAAGAAGATTATGTTTTCTATGTGGATACAGACCTCCAAATTATTAAAATATTAGACCACATGCACACCCTATCAAAAAAATTCCAAAATCCATTGCTCAACTCACTACAATTTTCATATTCATCCACCACTCCAACGACGTCTAAATTGTGGTTGCCCTCACTAGTTAAATTCTACTTCAAGTTTAAAAACTGTTCATGTTGTATTGTTGTTATATAATATTGCATTCAATTATTGAGATTAATCATCTGTTAATTCACCTGTTCGTTTATTTACAATTATTCTTTTAAATAGCTACAAACTAATATTGTTCTGTATTATCCATAGATTCAGATAGCCATAGGCTAGGATTGTCCTAATTTATTAAATTAAAAAAAATATAGAATGTGGTTATATTATCATAAAATCATAAAGTAATTCACTGTACTCTACCTATTTAGTATTTGATATTCATTGAGACATAATATTGTAACTATTATGGCAATTACTTATGTCACTCAAAAGCTCAACATTAAAACATACCAATTTATGGGTATACAATGAAATTATTTATGTAGAAAACAAGTGTTCATTAAACTACATGAAGCTTCAATTGTCGATTGTTGCAATAACAATAATAAAGAGTGTAAGAATCTCCATTAATATATCACTTATTCTTAACAATATTTTTGTGTCATAGGGAACTGTTTTGGACAGATAAGGACAAATTATTAATATATGTTCCTCATTGATCTGTTAAAAAAACATTGATATTTAATTAATTTAAAACTAGGAAATAATTTTGTGACGTAAAATAATATTATATTTGATATAATGTACACATTAAGAAATAATTTAATTCCAAATAAACAAGAAGAAATATTAATATTAATAATGCTATATTAGCTGTATGAATTTATAATTTTAGTTTATACATGTATTTAATACAAAAACAACACATTATGGACCAGTAAACTTAAAAGGTAGCAGGAATATTTTGTTTTTCAAATTCGGCTCTGTAAAATAAAATTAAAAAATATTAAAATTAGTCAATATAACAAAAACAAATGGGTATCATCAAATATTTAAACATTGAAAACCATTAAACCCCAGATTTGAACAAATTTGTGGTCAATATAAAAACATTAAATACTTCTTCAACTGTGTGGTATTTAATTTTAACAAACTTTCATAATATAAATTTAAAATAGATTTTCATGCATAAAAAAATATCGGGTTTAAGGATCTTATTATACAACATGGTAAATTATACCATATATTTTATGTTTAAATACAATTTTTAGCAATTTAATTACATTATTTCTGGACACTACTCTTAAATAATTTTTAAGAATTAAATTAATACAGTAGAATCTGCATATCACGATGCCATTTATAACAATCTTACAAAAAAATGAGTACCAGTGATGTATTTGGTTAGTTTTATATCTGACGTGGAGTATATTATTTTCATCATTCATTACTATTCATATAATAATCAGATTCTCTAGGACCCTTGAAGATTGTTATAAGTGGATTCTACTGTATAGGGGGTAGGTATTCATTTTTAATAGATCTAAAATAATAATAACAATAATTTTAATTTCTATTAACTAAAAGTTGGATTTAAGGCTCAAATAAATAAAACATTTTAAATCTAATACCAGAAATTAATAACAAAAGGTAAACTACTTAGTATAATAACTGTGAGTCATATTTACCTCAATTGAACACTGAAATCATCTTCGACATTGTCATCATCCCAATTATCTTCCCAAACATTAGCCTCTTTATCTTCTTCATCTTGACTAGTCCACTCTAGAATTAAAAATTATATATATATTTATTAGTTAGTTGTTAATTACAATGAACATATCATGCACTTATAACCAAAATCAATCGTTTACCTTCCACTGGGAACTCTTCGAATTCATCGTCTTCTTCCAACAGACCGATATCCAAAGTGTTCTTTTGCTTGTCGCTGTCGGATTTGGGTTCGGTAGAATTAACCATTGTGCTAANGCTCATGCTCAATATTAGCAACAGTATTAGTAAGTTTGAAATTCCAGTAGCGGTTTATTCCTTTTTTCTAAATTATATCCATGTTAAAGAACAGCATAGTATGTTTGCTTCAGAAAGTTTCCTCTCACGTTGATGTGCATGCATTTTTTTTTTTTTGTTCAATGGATGTAGTTCATGACTGATGTATCAATTAATTCAATTTATTTAAATACCTTCAAAACCTTTCAAACTGTCCTTTCATTTATTAGGAGTTTGCACTGCACTGGGATCATTGTTAATATATATCACCTGGAGGGATTTTTATTCGTTGCCGAGTATTACTTAATAATAGTTATTAAATGTTTAATTTAATGGTAACTACTGCGGTATTATGTGTAGGATATAATTACAGACTCAGTTGTGGAGGAATTATTATTTGTTGCAGAATATAATCTGATAAGTACCTAATAGATATGCAGAGCCGGCCTTAGGTATTTAGCCGCCTGTGCCTATTTAAAAACGATCCATAATACCTATAAATCAATAATTCACTAGAAATTGCCGCTCGGTGCGGACGCATAGCTTATACGTAGATTAAACCGGCCCCGTAGACATGTAATTTATTGTTTATGCTTGTTAATCATTAGTCTCAAGTATAAAAATCTTGTTTATCATGTTAAAATCTCAAATAATGTTGAATCATATTTTTGATTCTTAATTGGAATACAAAAAAAATAAGTCCAACCATGTGGTATTGTATTCACGTAAGAATTTATTGTGACGTTTAATCAACATTTATTTTTTAATTGGCTCATAAAAAGACTAAGAACTTTCCTATGACCCGATTCTTATTGCACCTTGCAACCAATTTTAGTCTGATCTTTTACAAATACAATACACACTATATAAAAATAATAAAATATTACTGTTGTACTTGTGTACAGCCAGGGATGGACAAGATAATTGAAAAAAATGTTGAAGATACTAGATACATACATTTTTACCTCTAGACACCAAGTAATATATTTAACATATTTAAAAGATACATTTTTTTTTTTATTATTGTGTAATAAGTAAAATACTTAAATATTATTTAGATAACTTAAGGGAAAGAATCAAAATCTCTCCCACCACCCCCTTAAATTAGGTATAAGGTTAGTATAAATATATGTTAACACAAATATCATCTGCATTACAAATTCAAACATAATTTGTTTTATAAACTGTGCAAGTAAAAAAGATAAATATGATTTTCGAATGAATATATCTTTAATTGTAATTTGTACGCAACAAAAAGAAAAAAATGTTTATGACACAAATTAAAATATGTCTAAAGATACCACAGACATATTTAAGCCACACCCATATTTGCTTACAGCTATAAGTTCAGATGTTTTCTTCTGTGTACGCACTATCAACTCCATAAGATTTCTTTCTTACAAATGATTGAACTTTAATAATCAGCAGACGCTGCCAAATTAATTGTTAATGATTTTTTATAATTCATTTTTTGTATAGGATTATTTCATTGTCATTTTTTAAATTATATATAATATTACAGGCAGTCAACATGTATTAAACATACTAGTAAACCACTGGTTAAACAAGACCCAATAAATTGTACTGTTACATCCAATGGCCATAGACGCCGCGGATAGTTATTTAATAAAAAAAAAAAAAAAGACCCAATAAATAGGTATCTTATTGTAATAATTATTACATAAAACTAAGATGAAAACCAAACAGTTGATTAGGTGAAGGTCAAAGTAGTGAAACAAAATGTTTTAAATTAGATATACAAGATTTTGTTTTTTTTTAAGCAACGATAGAGTATACATAGAGTACTGTTACTTAAAAGTCAAAGAGGATATAATGGAAGTAGCAAACAGGCTGTCATAAATAAAATATCGAGAATGTTGATTATGAGATTAGTTTTTAGGGATTAGGTAAAGATTATATACAAAACGTATTGAAGTATTATTGTATTAAATCAACAGCACAAAATTTGTCCAAACTATTAGATTGATTTAAGAAGATTATGTTTTCTATGTGGATACAGACCTCCAAATTATTAAAATATTAGACCACATGCACACCCTATCAAAAAAATTCCAAAATCCATTGCTCAACTCACTACAATTTTCATATTCATCCACCACTCCAACGACGTCTAAATTGTGGTTGCCCTCACTAGTTAAATTCTACTTCAAGTTTAAAAACTGTTCATGTTGTATTGTTGTTATATAATATTGCATTCAATTATTGAGATTAATCATCTGTTAATTCACCTGTTCGTTTATTTACAATTATTCTTTTAAATAGCTACAAACTAATATTGTTCTGTATTATCCATAGATTCAGATAGCCATAGGCTAGGATTGTCCTAATTTATTAAATTAAAAAAAATATAGAATGTGGTTATATTATCATAAAATCATAAAGTAATTCACTGTACTCTACCTATTTAGTATTTGATATTCATTGAGACATAATATTGTAACTATTATGGCAATTACTTATGTCACTCAAAAGCTCAACATTAAAACATACCAATTTATGGGTATACAATGAAATTATTTATGTAGAAAACAAGTGTTCATTAAACTACATGAAGCTTCAATTGTCGATTGTTGCAATAACAATAATAAAGAGTGTAAGAATCTCCATTAATATATCACTTATTCTTAACAATATTTTTGTGTCATAGGGAACTGTTTTGGACAGATAAGGACAAATTATTAATATATGTTCCTCATTGATCTGTTAAAAAAACATTGATATTTAATTAATTTAAAACTAGGAAATAATTTTGTGACGTAAAATAATATTATATTTGATATAATGTACACATTAAGAAATAATTTAATTCCAAATAAACAAGAAGAAATATTAATATTAATAATGCTATATTAGCTGTATGAATTTATAATTTTAGTTTATACATGTATTTAATACAAAAACAACACATTATGGACCAGTAAACTTAAAAGGTAGCAGGAATATTTTGTTTTTCAAATTCGGCTCTGTAAAATAAAATTAAAAAATATTAAAATTAGTCAATATAACAAAAACAAATGGGTATCATCAAATATTTAAACATTGAAAACCATTAAACCCCAGATTTGAACAAATTTGTGGTCAATATAAAAACATTAAATACTTCTTCAACTGTGTGGTATTTAATTTTAACAAACTTTCATAATATAAATTTAAAATAGATTTTCATGCATAAAAAAATATCGGGTTTAAGGATCTTATTATACAACATGGTAAATTATACCATATATTTTATGTTTAAATACAATTTTTAGCAATTTAATTACATTATTTCTGGACACTACTCTTAAATAATTTTTAAGAATTAAATTAATACAGTAGAATCTGCATATCACGATGCCATTTATAACAATCTTACAAAAAAATGAGTACCAGTGATGTATTTGGTTAGTTTTATATCTGACGTGGAGTATATTATTTTCATCATTCATTACTATTCATATAATAATCAGATTCTCTAGGACCCTTGAAGATTGTTATAAGTGGATTCTACTGTATAGGGGGTAGGTATTCATTTTTAATAGATCTAAAATAATAATAACAATAATTTTAATTTCTATTAACTAAAAGTTGGATTTAAGGCTCAAATAAATAAAACATTTTAAATCTAATACCAGAAATTAATAACAAAAGGTAAACTACTTAGTATAATAACTGTGAGTCATATTTACCTCAATTGAACACTGAAATCATCTTCGACATTGTCATCATCCCAATTATCTTCCCAAACATTAGCCTCTTTATCTTCTTCATCTTGACTAGTCCACTCTAGAATTAAAAATTATATATATATTTATTAGTTAGTTGTTAATTACAATGAACATATCATGCACTTATAACCAAAATCAATCGTTTACCTTCCACTGGGAACTCTTCGAATTCATCGTCTTCTTCCAACAGACCGATATCCAAAGTGTTCTTTTGCTTGTCGCTGTCGGATTTGGGTTCGGTAGAATTAACCATTGTGCTAAATTATGAAGACCCGGTTAATTGTTGGATAGAAACTTAGAGTTATTAGTTTTCACCGTTTTTAGAGCAATCGAGCAATTTATAAATTTCCAATTTCCAAACTCACGATTATAGAAGATAAAAAGATAATAAAGTTTGTTTTTGTTTTACACTAGAACGAAATTTAACAGTCATGCCCTTAACCTCAAAATACAATATTTTAAATGGTGTCCAAAGTTGTTAATTGGTGTCCAAAATTGTTGCCTGTTAATATCACAGATTACAATAATAGAACAATTTAATTTTGTTGTTCTATGCATAAACTAACGATAGAGATATATATTCTGTGATAGATAAACAATACATATCGATGGTTCTGTGTTATTGTTATGATTTATAACATATTTTAATTTCAAATTTCTTCAAGAAATGAGAAGTTGCACTTGCACAGTAATACAATATTATACTTTTTAGTTATTTACTGATTTTAGTTTGTTTGCTCCCTGATGCGTGGCGGTGGCACACGTTGAGCATCACTGTTCACTATTCGTTTATTAGTCATTACTCATTACCGTTTTCGGTACACTATAATAGTCTGTGGACTGTGGCTCCATCATAGAGTGGTTCACTGTGGCTCCATACTTCACTGTCTTTCTCAGGAATAAGTTCTGCAGTTCAGTCTTCAACTCTTCAAGACCGCCGGTGCTCAGCCATGGCAGGAAAACTAAAACAAATGTTTTTTCACCCATGATTTTTTTTTATCTGAAACTATAATCAATAACAAATCCCGAGAAAAACTGTACACTATATAATAATAAAAACACAAATAATAATATTTATATTAAAGTGAACACTGAACACAGAGTTCAAAATGTTTTTTCTTTCTCCTTGTTAATTGAAAATGTGATTTAATGTAAATAGTAATTTAATATTCTGATGATGAAGTCCAGTGAAGTAGAAGTGGTCAAGATGATTGATGCCAACAAAATGCGGAAGGAAAAAAAGCTATCGGTAAGTTCTATTAGTAGCAGTCCGGCGTCGGACTTAAAACCTCGAGTAGTGACTGTCAAACAACACGATTCAAAAAAGCTTTATACGCCGACTGCTAAAAAAGAAAATACAAAAAAAATTGTTCAAGATGCAACAAAGGAAATTCAGAACTGCAATGACAGTTCGGAATGGCGCCTGGATTTAAGTAAATCAGGTTTGACCAAAGTGCCAATAACCATTAGAGATGCAACACAATTGACTGAATTGTATTTGTACGGTAATAAGTTGGTAACTTTACCATCAGAAATTGGGTGTCTGATAAACTTGCAGACACTAGCACTTAGTGAAAATTCGCTGACCTGTCTACCGGACTCGCTAGCTAGTCTTACAAGTCTTAAAGTCTTAGACCTTAGGCACAACAAACTTACTGAAGTGCCAGATGTTGTCTATAAGTTGGATACCCTAACTACACTGTTTTTGCGTTTCAATCGTATACGTACAGTGAGTGATGACCTTAGTAAATTAGTCAACCTAGTCATGCTCAGCTTACGAGAGAATAAAATCAAAGAACTTTCATCTGGTATCGGTAAATTGGATAAATTAATTACATTTGATGTGTCACATAATCATTTGGAACATTTGCCAGAAGAGATTGGAAATTGTATACAATTGTCTACACTAGACCTTCAACACAATGAACTTGTCGACATTCCTGAGACCATTGGCAATCTTACACTTCTGACACGTTTAGGGTTACGATATAACAGATTGAAAACTTTACCAAATTCATTGAGTAATTGTAATCGAATGGATGAATTTAATGTAGAAGGTAATATGCTAAGTTGCTTGCCCGATGGACTACTTGTTAACTTAAAAGAAATGAATAGTATAACACTAGCTAGAAATAGTTTCACAGCATATCCTACTGGAGGGCCTGCACAATTTATTGCTGTAGACTCAATTAATTTTGAACATAACAAAATTGATAAAATACCCTACGGAATATTTTCCAAAGCTAATTATCTAACAAAACTTAATATGAAAGATAATGCCTTGACATCACTGCCATTAGATGTTGGTTCTTGGACTAATATGGTCGAGCTTAACGTTGCAACGAACATGATTACCAAATTGCCCGACGACATACAATATCTACAATCCCTGGAAGTATTGGTCTTATCTAACAATTTGTTGAAAAGATTGCCAGCTACCATAGGAAATCTTCAAAAACTCAGAGTGCTTGATCTTGAAGAAAATAAATTAGAAACATTACCTCAGGAAATTGGTTACCTGCGAGAGCTGCAAAAATTAATTTTACAGTCCAACCAATTGCTATCGTTACCACGGGCGATTGGTCATCTCACAAATCTTTCATATCTTAGTGTTGGTGAAAATAAGCTTAGTACATTACCAGAAGAAATCGGTACGCTGGAAAATTTGGAGGCACTTTACATTAATGACAACCAAAGTCTTCATCATTTGCCATTTGAACTTGCCTTATGTTCCAAGTTGCAGTTGTTGGGAATTGAAAATTGTCCATTGAGTCAACTTGGAGATGCAGTCAAAGGTGGTCCATCTTTAGTAATGACTTATCTCAAGGTAAATGGCCCATACCGTACTCTATGAAATCTTTTTAACTGGTGTGGTATTTCCATTTGATATTTATTACACAATATTACAGTGAGTCTAATGAAAATTTGTTAATGTATTTGTTATTGTGTTTAAAAAGTTTATTTTAACACAAATATTGAAACTATTTTAATGGACCACTGGTAGTATTGTGCATTTTTCTCTGACTACAATTATGAAATCAAGTAGGATAAAGCTCGAAAAAATGTTATTTTTAATTCTTGGGATTTTTGGTTGAAAAGTTGTTATGTTCTTATAAGTTGCATTAAACGTGCATAAGTAAGTATTTGAGATCAGAGTTGTTGATAATCTCTTTCTAGAGAAATTATTTTAAGATGAGAGTTTATAAATTGAAATGTTTTTATGTTTCAAGAACTATTTATTAAACAATACATTATTTTATATAAGTGCATAAGTACCTACTTTATTTGTGTACAATTTTATTAAAACTTAAATAAATTGAAGTATGTATTAACTATTAAGCGCTATTAAGTTAAAAGTTTTATTCATAAATGAAAAAAGTATGGACTTGACCGATTATTTTCAGTATTCTATTCAATACATTGAATAACTTTAGATAAGCATTCTATTAATAGCAGTTTTCAAAGTATAGTTAACTATAACTGCCTATTCTATATTGTTGTCTCAATTTATCTAGAGTTAAACACATTTATCAGAAGAGGTAATTAGGTAATACATTATCTTTTAATTAATAATAATCATCCGTATACTTTAAATATAAATTAATTAATGGCCAGTATATTTATGTGAATGTATATTTAATGATAGTTAAAAAAAACTTATAACTTTGCAAGTTTTAATTTTTAAGATGATAATATTGATTCCATGATATTACATTATAAACTCTCATCGGATTGTGAAATTTAATATCTATTATGTTTAAGATAATGCATATTTTATATTATCATAAAGGTATTAAAATTGTTAACTAAACTACTACTACCACCAGGCAATTGAATATAAAATAAACTTTATAATGATAGTTGATAACCATTACTTTATTCAGCATGTCAACTGGAAATTTTACCACAGTCCCAAAACTGTATTTAAGCCATGTACATCAAAGTGTATTAATTACCTATTAATTAATTTGTTTTTATTTATTCATAATAGCAAATATATAGTGTATTATTTAATATTTGTTTTAATTGAAAATTATAAATGTATATTGTATTTATGTATGACGTATAATATATATTTATATAATATGTATTTATGTATGACGTATAATATATATTTAATTATTTCAACTATTGATAAAAATAACGTAATATTATTTTTGTGTGATAATTATTATACTATGTTAATATTTAAACAAATTGAAAACTAATTTATTTGAAAACAGTTGTCATACAAATATTATGATTACAGTTTTATGACATAATATCTATTGGTTATTGATTAACCTGTATAGTATTATAGTGTAATCATAATAAAATAAATTGTATTAGAAACATTAAAGTTCTTAGATGGGTACTTGTGTCAAAAATCCATCATTTGAGCTTGTACTACTTATAAAATTGTTTTTGTCATTATTTGTGCAATATAATGAATTTTATTTTAAACTCAAAATTGTTTCATATGATTTACCTTACTGTTTCTTTTTCTAATTGTAGCAGTAAAAAAGAATGGCAAATTTCTTTGCTATGAGTTATAAAAGAGTATCCATACATTTTGTTAAGGAACTTTATTCAAATAAATAAATATATTCAGTATAGCACAATTGATCGTTTCTTCCATTTTTGACTTTGCAAGATCATGAGCATAAATTTAGTAACACAATTGCGTTAGTATTTGATATTGATGCACAAATAAAAATTGGTTGGCCAGTCTCTTTGTTGACAATCATGTGACAATAATTATTGTTGTACGTACATGTAGATTTTCATACCAAAAAACTAAGCTTACAATGATTGTTTGTCCTTAGTCCTAAGCATACATGACTTTCCTAATTGAGAAAGAAAATTGTGACTTAATGATTAGTTATCAAGTAAATGTATAGAAAAGATTATGAATACTTATAAATTATATTATACATTATGTATCATTTGTTGTGCAATCGTGTTACTAATTTGTTTCAAAATGATGCTATCTTTTTTCAGGTAAAAAAAGAAAAAGTACGCAATCATTCTGTACTAGATTACTAATTAGCAATAAAGTAGTAAATAATAATCTGTTTAAGTTGTTGTTTAAATTATGAAATTAGTTAACAAAAATGCAAGTATGAAATCATGGTTGTTCCAAAGTACTTAAATTTGTCCCGTCGTAAATATGTATCTAGGTATACAAACAATGTGAAATGCATAATCAAATTATGAATAATTTAACGTAGAGTTGTAGATGGTTGTGTGTCAAACTTCTAACAAAAGGCAAAGAGACATTTTAAAGTTTGGAACACAGCCATATGTAGTTATTGATTCTTGTGTTGTGGTTAATTGTGAGTTGAACTTTTAATACATATGTTTTATTTTTTGTTTTTTTAGGTATTTAAAAAATGATTTGGTAAAACAATGTTTTAACCTTGTTAGATACTCCAAGCACATT